CTGCTGAAGAATAGCTGTTGTCTGGGACCAACCAGAATGGAAGTACTCTTTAACTAAGGGACTAAAAATAAGCAGGCCAGAGGTAACATGAGTGCAGAGAGAGGTGAGAGAAAGAAGACAGTTTCCAAATAATGGGGAAGAGGGATTCTGGAGCCAGAGGATCATACCAGGAGACAGAGTCAAAATACCACCTCCTTCCTTTCACAAGGATCAATTCCTGTACAGTGGGTCTGAATGAAAGGATCTTTTCAGCAGCTGTCTCCACAGCAGATATTTTCTGACTTGTAAGAATTGCCATTGCTCAAGTCTGGGCTTCAGTGTCGGAAACTTTTGCAAGGCATAGTTGCCAGGGGAAGTCCCTGGAATCTCCTGGACTTCTTGCTTCCTTCCAGTAGGACAAGTTGTTGAAACCCCAGGGCATAAAAGGCCCAGAGGATGTGCATTTCTGGCACAACTGGCCAGAGGTGTGGGAGCAACCATCATGGACCAGAAATCTCTCTGGGCAGGTGCGTTTGGGCTGCTAATCCACCAGGGAAGTTAGTGAGGAGGGAGGGGAATACAAACCTGAGGAGGAATAAAGCTCCTCAGTCTCTCTGTTCACTCGCTATCAAGAAATATCAAGAGAATACAACTGTTCTAGGGAGACCATCTGTTTTTTCCTAAATGGGCAAAAAAAATTTGCCAGTGTCCTTTGGACAGGACATAGTCAGTTTGCACAGAGGTGCCTCTCATCCACATTACATAGAACTCAAGATGGGAAAGAGACTAAGCCTTCACAGTCTCTTGACGTATGAGCACTGTTTTGGAACTCACGTCTTTCATGGGGCTGTGCTTTGTGGGCATTTTAGAATTTCTTGGGGAGTTTCACATTTCTCCTCTGCAGGGTGGTTTTTTGGATTAAGTATTTTCTAAACCTTCAACTTTAAAGTTCTGATTCGAATTTTTTTTTTTTTTGGCTCATAATTTGGATAGGCATGGGGAGGCAGCTCAAGAAACAGAACTGTGGGTGAGCAAGAAGTTTGCCAGAAGGAGAGAGGATATGTCTGAAAGAGGACAGAAGCCATTTCAATGAGTTCATCCTTACCTCTTTCATCTTGTCTTATACTCTCAAGCCATGAGCAGCCCACTTGGAAAGAGCCTTTTGAGTTTCCTGCAGAAATTCTTAGCACTAGGCTCTCAGGAGGGCAGTCCATAGAGAAGCAGCACTTTGGAGAAGGGCCAGGAGGCTGACCTGACAGTAGATCTGGCAACTAGAATTTCTGTGACCATTTAGTCAGTGTGTGGAGGACCAGCTTCTCGCCTATTCTGCCTCCTGCCTAAAAAGTGAGAATCAG